GGTGGCCCCCCTTTTGCACGCCACCCTATTCCGAGCCTCCTTCACCAGCAACCCTCTTATTAGATCCCTCGCCGCAAAGCTCACCACCGGCGACTCCGGGAAGCGCAACGGCTGGCCCACAACGTTGAACAGGGTTGCCCGGTTGCCCGATCCCTTGAACGGGGTCTTCCCGAACAGCAGCTCGTACATAAATATCCCGAGCGTCCACCAATCGACCGCGCTCCCGTGGCCCTCGCCCTTGATTATCTCTGGGGCCAAGTACTCGTGGGTCCCGACGAACGACATGGACCTTGCCTCGGTGGGTTCGGCCATGAGCTCGGGCAGCGGGCTCACCTGGCTGCCGACCTCGTTCTTGGACGGCTTACGGTCCTTTTTGGAGCGGGTTGAGAAGAGGCGGGGACCGAAGCATGTGGTGGGGCCCACGCAGGAGGAGGGCTGGATGCAGTAGATGGGGTCCGGGTCGAGGGTGGTGGAGGAGGAGGAGGTCTTGATGAGTGTAGGGCTGACTGTGCAGCGGAGGGAGAGGTCGAAATCGGAGAGCATGATGTGGCCGTCCTCACGGACGAGGACGTTTTCTGGTTTTAGGTCACGGTACACGATGCCGAGCATGTGCAAGTATTCTAAAGCTAGGAGGATCTCTGCTACATAAAATCTGCATTCCAAAATGATAAAAAGATTGTGAGGATTGAAGAAAGAGTGAGGATAAGACTTAGAGCTAAGAACATGCATTACACACACCAGAGTGTATTTTAATCATGCCACAAGCCAAGAACATGCATTACACCAGCCAAAATGAGGTCTTGGGAGCAATTACTTCAATATCATCACAAGAGTTCTAGAAAAATAACAGAACTATCGATCATGAGCGTAACTTGTGTGCACGGGATATTCACATTGACCATGCTGAATGGTGATATTCCGGGAAAGTATGAAATGGGTGGTGTTAGGGATTGCAACATGGTAAAAGTTGAAGTGCTCCATTTTCAGCTCACCACCACACATGGCCAAAACATTACCATTCTGTTACGCTCAGAACACAAAATTATTTCTCCAACCACTAGTTGACCCAAAATCCAAATCACTCAACAAAAGCAACACAATCGCAAAAAATTAAAAAGCACGAGTTGAAGAAAATAATCATACTTCACGGCTTGTTCGGAAAAATGCTTCCCCGGCTGCCTCTGCCTGAGTGTATGCAAATCCCCACCGGGACAGAACTCCATCACCAGACACGAAAATTTGTCAGTCTCGAAATGTGTGTACAAACTCGGCAAGAACGGATGATCCAAAGACTGCAGTATCTCCCTTTCCGTCTGGGCCCGCAGGAGCTTTTTCCTGCTTGCAAGGGATGACTTATCCATGACCTTCATTGCAAAATAGCAGCTCGTGCCACATAACTCCGAGAGATAGACACTCCCTATGTCCCCACACCCCAATTTTTTCAGCAACCTGAAATGCCTCAGATCTAAAACGCTGTCTTTCGATCGGACGGCCTGGATTGCTTCCCATCTCGAGTCATTGGCCTTGTGGGGCTTGTTCACCCCGCTGCTGAAGCTGCTGCACGTGCTCTCGTCACTTATGTCAGTGCTCGTGCTGCCTCTGCAAAGGCTGCTTTTCCCACTCTCAACAAATTCAAGCCTCCCGCTGATTTTCGCGCTACCGCTTGTCTTTGTGGATGCACAGCTGTCCTTGAAGTTCTCGGTCTCTTTCTTTTCAAAAATCATTTTTTTCTCCTTCAGTTGGGCCAGCATTAAACTGGGGTCGAGTTTGCCGGCTGAGGAGCGAAGGGATTTGATTGGTTCGGCTGCGGGTTTTTCCGGGGCATTTTTGTTGATACTTTTCGGCAATTCTTTCGTGTTCTTCCAAGAATTTCCTTCTACAGCTTGCCCTGAATGAATTTTATTACACTTTTCTAAAGATTTATTTGTGCCAAGTTCAGAAGCCATTGAGATGAGTGTTGAAACTGTGAATCCGGCTGGAAAACGAGCATTATTCGACGACGGCCGAATACAAAAAATCTACCATTTCAGTAGGGAAATTCTGTCACCAACACCTGTTATCAAAGGAAAGCAATTTAATGAAACTAAAGAGCAACCGCACAGATCACACATCAAAGAATCAGATTATTCTTGTTCTTCTCAGGAAAATACAGATGAACACGTGTTAACAAAATAGGAAGAAAGGGAATTTTCGGATTCCCTAAGGAAGCAAAAAACAATTCAACTTCAAAGGTGCAACCTTTTTCACCTTGAGAACAAAAGAGAAAGCACTCTCATGAACAGATCGCCATGGATGCAAGAAAAGAAGAACCTATACCACAAAATCAAGCCATTCAAACACAACTAAAGTCGCACATAACCACATAGCAAAAGATAACCACAATTTAAGGATAAAAAACAGGGGAAAAAAGCAAACAATAAAAAAGAACATGGGCCCATGAAAGCACACACAGATCTTGAGCAATGACCCACCTCTTTTCTGTGTGAGAGAGAGAGAGGGAGAGAGAGAGAGAGAGAGAGATGAGTCCACCTGAAAGCTCAAAGATCATGTCTTTTTTACATTTCACATGTTATTTACAGAAAAAGCAAGTAAAAGGAAGAAGATGGTGGACTTTAGAAAGGAAAAGAGATGAAGAATAGAGCAGAACCTCGTTAGTTAGCCTCCCAACAAAATGTGCGGAGTGGATTATGCAGAAAAGAAGAGAAAAAAAGGAGAAAAGGGGGCTTTGAGAATGTCGAAAGGCAGAGGAGTTGGGTGGGTTAGACTGGATTTGTTTGTGGACTAATACCATACCAATTCAGTATCACTTTTTTTTATTGTGTGTGACAGAGAGAGATATAGAGAAGGGAGGAGAGAGGTGGAGGGGTCAAAGACATTAGACATAGGTAAAGGAAAAAACTTGGCTAACATGTTCAATAATTCAATAAGAGGTTTGTCCCAAACACAAGAGTCTAAATCAACACATGGGCCTACAATTCCTCCAACCTGTCCCTCATGCTTAAGATTGGACCCATTTTTCTTCAATTAGCTAAATAACCAACTTAAGAATATAGTAGCAATAATTTGCAACAAAAAAGTCTCTCTGTATTCCTCCTCTTCCAAAACCAAAAACTCTAGATCCGTCTCCGCCTCGGGCCTACCGCTACACTATCCGAGTCGGTTTCCACCAAGTCGGGGTTGGGGGCCCTCTTTTTCGCCTGTTCTTAGGCCTTGTGGGAAAGTGATCGGGCTCGCCGCTCATTATCTTTCCGGCCAAGGCTGGGTCGCCGGTCGTCAGCGTCGGGCCCCTAGACCCCTGAGTATATCGGCCGTCGGTGGATATGGGTTCATGTTCCTCTGTTTCCGTGTCCAAGGTGCGGCTCGCCGCAATCTTAGACCCCTTTCGAGAGCCCTCTGGCGTGGGTCATTGGTGGCTTTTCCAGTGGTTTCCCTCCTTCCTCGACGTGGATGATTTTTTTGGAGGCCAAATCTGAACCAAGAGAAGACTCTTCATCAGATCCGTCTAGGCGGCACGAGTGGCTGCAGTTTACGGGCTTGAGGTTCCGGTTTGTGGCTTTGTTGGATTTCTATGCTATTGGAAGTGGCTCGTGTGCAGTCTCGGGTGGCCGGTGTTGGGTCTGTTAGGTGTAGGGGAGGTCTTAGTTTGTTAGTTTATTTGTATATTAGGTGTGCATTTTTATTTGTGTTTCGTGTGTTATTCCATCTTGTTTGGTTTTATCTCCTTTACAGAGTTTCTTCTCCTTTATGAATTTTCGTTTTGTTTAAGTGGTTGCCTCCTTGATGGAGTTGTACCTCTGGGATTCCTCTGGAATTTCAAGAGGGTAGGTCTAGTTATCTGATTTCTTGGTGTCAGCTGACATCCTCTTTGTATTCTTTCTGGGTTATTTATTTATATAAGTGTTTGCCATTTAAAAAAAAAATAAATAAATAAAATATATAACTAACTTGCTAATGAATTAGTATGCCTCCCTTTTTGCCACTACTTACTAACTTGCTAATGACCTAGTATGCCTTCCTTTTTGCCACTACTTATCTGGTCCATTTCATCAAACTTTGAATTTCTTTGATTGTATTCTCTCCGGTGGGAAAGTAGCACATTCTCTCCGGTGAGAGCGCTCAACTTCCATTTGTTCCTATCTCTGTTTTTCCTCGATTTTCTCTGTTTTCCCTCGATCTTCTTGTCAGTTTCACTGTGTTTTTGTTTTTATTCTTTGTCGCCAATTTTCTATTTGTCTGGAGTTAGGGTATCATGGGAACTCCTAATTGTGTTGGCCAAGACAAAGAATTAGCTCAAAAGCTTCAGAGCATTTCTATATCAGCTAAGGAGAAAAAATTTTATTGACCTGGGCAAGGATGACATCAAGCTCAGCGCCGATGAATGTCAGCGTAGTTTATTCGGTAAAATGGTTGGAGATAGAAAGACCAGATAGATTGGGGTTAAGAGGGCTATGAGCCATATTTGGCGTCTCAGTCAACCCATGGAGATTAAGGACTTGGGTCCAAACTACTATCAGTTTATATTTCAGAGTAAAGACGACAAAGAAAAAGTGGCCAAAGGCATCAACTGGACATATGATAATCAATACCTCATTTTGTATGAATGGAAAGTAGGCCTTTCAATCACCCATCCCACTTTTCAAGAGCTCAATTTATGGGTCCAAGTATTCAATGTACCTTTGGATTGGCTCAGCACTGAGGTTGGTAAGGTGTTTAAATAGGTTCAGAATGTTGTCATAGTGGGTACTGGAAGACATGGAGGTCGAATAATGAGGCTGCTGGTAACAGTTGATCTACATAAACCTCTTCCCCAGTGTGCTAACCTTAGACTTGATGACCAAACAGTTAATGTTGGGTTCAAGTATGAGAAACTGATAAACCATTGCCACTACTGCGGTCTAATAGGTCATTTGGATAGAACATGTCCTAGAAGGATGGAGGATATAAAACCACATTCGTTACAAGAAGGTCAATATGGTGCTTGGATGAGGGCCACTAAAATCATCACTGGGCAGGACATCAATCTGCTGGTTCTCAAAGCCCACCTCACTCAAACAACCCTTCATCTCCTCTTCACTCAAACTTCCAAATGCCATCTCTAGGGAATGATAGTAATAAACTCCTCTCCATAAAAGGATCACCATCCCAGCACAATAGACCCGATTCTGAATTTTCCACATCTCAACCAATTCAAGCCCAAACTCATGCTCCTGAAGATGAGGAGCAGGATGTTAATACAACCTCCAAAGCTCCTATGAAAGACTCATTACCTCATCAAACAGTCACCAACTCCAGCAAGGATATGGATATTGAAAACCCTTTGATTGAAGCTGCCAAGGAAAGATCTTTGAAGATTTCTGTTTCAGGGAAGCTTCAGTACAAACCCAAGCTATGGAAAAGAACTGAATCCAGAATGGGTAGGCTATTGAGGCAACCAATTATCCACAACAGCTAGGAGGCTAGTAATTCAGTCAAGAGAATCAGAGATACAGCTGAAAACAACAATGATGAGAATGATCCTCAGCAAGCAGATCATAATGAAAGTAAAAAGCAGAACAAAACCAGAGAAGGTGGGGGTGGCCAGCCTAGAATGGCACCCAAGTGATTAATGCTAGCTGTGGTGTGGAATTGTAGAGGGCTGGGTGGGCCCTCTACAATTTCCCAAATCAGAGAGTCGTGTAGGACTTACCAACCAGCTTTCCTTTTATTGTCAGAAACTAAAAAGTCGGCTGCTTTTGTCAAGTCAGTAACTAGGAAGTTAGGTTTTGATAACAGATGATCTATTGTGTATCCTGTAGGTTTGAGTGGAGGTTTGCTCCTATGTTGGTCTTCTGAAGTCCAAATCATTCAGATTGTAAAAAAAAAATTCTATATTGCTGTGGAATACAAATTTGCAGACTTTACCCCAACTTGGGGGATTTTTGTGTATATAAGCACCAACTCTCTTATTGGGCAGTCTCAATGGGAGGAATTGAAGGTGGATCAGCAATCTTAGGGTCATCTTTGGCATATAATTGGTGACTGTAATGATATTTGTAATGGTAAAGAGAAGAGGGGTAGCAATCCTAGATCTATTTCAAGCCTGTATGGTTTCAATTGTTTCATAAACTGCATGAAAATAGAAGAGATTAAAATGATTGGGGACAATTTCACATGGTGCAATACAGATTTAATGAGGTTTGATTGAAGCCAAGTTAGACAGAGGCTTTGCATCATTTGACTGGTTGGAACTCCATCCTCAAGCTACTATTACCAACATTGCTAAATTAGCTTCAGATCACTCCTTATTGATTTTCCCGTCAGGGGATATGAAGGAAAGAAAGAAAAGCAGATTTCACTTTGACAGAAGGTGGCTATCTAAGGAGGGGATTTCTGAAGTGGTTCAAAGAGCTTGGAGCACATCTTACACTGGAACTCCTTTCTTCATCTTAAAGGAAAAGGTCAAGGCAACCAGACAGGCTCTCCTCATTTGGAGTGCCAATTTTAAATCCCAAAACCAGTCAACCATTGAGAACCTCTACAAAAAGTTGAACACATTGCAGCAAGAAGGGATCTCTGCTAACTGGGATGAGTGGTTTACCACCAGAAAAGACCTTCAAGCAGCTCACAAAGCAGAAGAATTGTTTTGGCTGCAAAAGGCAAAAATTAGATGGCTGTAGGAATGGGGCAACAATTCAAATATCTTTCATTCTTATATCATGTCTAGGAGGAGGCAGAATACAATCTCTTGGTTACTCACAAATCAGAATACTATATGTGAAACTTAGTTGTCTATTCATAATCATTTCGCTCAGTCTACTCTGAACTCTTCACCTTTGAAAGGTCTTGGAGTGGGGACTCAATTCTTCCTCTTATCACTCTCTCAATCTCAGCTGATATGAACCAACTCTTGCTTCAACCAGTCTCTGAAGATGAAATAAGAGCAGCTCTTTTCAGCTTTCAACCTGAT